CAATGTAGCCAACTTCATTAGTTAGAACCCATGTTATTGATTTAGGTAGGTTGACTAAGTAAATGTGAGTTACAATAAAATATGGCTTACCACCCACATGAACATAAAATTAAACTCTTTTAATTTTGAAAATATTAGTCCAAACTCATCTTAATTATTTGAATTGCTAATTATAATTCTTATTCTAGTGCAGACCTACAAGCCTAATGATGGACCTTGCAAAGATGAAAATATGAATTGCAAGCTTTGATGTAGCCAAGCTCCCTAAATCAATAACATAGGTTCCAACTGATGTTGAAAATGATAAATGCACTCCATAGATTGGTAATAATAAATGAACTTTATTTAAATAGAGTCCATTTGTCATATTTAATATCAGTTAGAATCCATGTTATTGATTCAAGTGGGTTGGCTAGATTGAAACTTGCAGTTCGTATTTTCATCATTGCAAGTTCTTCATATTAGGCTTGCGAGCCTGCAATAGAATAAGAATTATAATTAGAGATTCAAATAAATAAGACGAATTTGGGCTAGTATTTTAAAAAATTAGAAGATTTTAATTTTATGCTCCTGTTAATGGCAAGCCATATATCTACTTAGCTAACCTACCTAAATCAATAACATGGGTTCTACCTGATGTTGAAAATGACAAATGGACTCCATTTATCATTCTTAACAAATGGAGTCCATTTATCATTTTCAACATCAGTTAGAACCTATATACTGATTCATAGAGTTGGTTAACCCTTCTGGGCCTGGGAGAACCGTACCTAGTGTCAAGAGTGTGGGCGAACCGTACCCAGTGTCAAGAGTGTGAGTTCAAATCCCTACCTGTGTGCTAGTCCGTGACTTATTACTACATAGTTGAGTGGCTCTACTATGTAGCAATCACCTAAGGGTGGCCTCTGAGACTTCAGCTCCTTATAGGATCTAATCTCAGAGGTTACCCTTTTGTGGTTAGGCCTTTACACACACACATACACACACATACTCTCTCTCTCTCTCTCTATCTCTCTCTCTTTTTGTGTCCATATATATATACACCTTACCCACATCACCGATATCACATGGTTTGTTTATCTTCATACTTTCAAAACATCCATTAAAAATTCAAAACCGTCCACACCCTCTACAACATTGAATAGCAACCAAAAGCATTAAACCCATTGAACAAAACATGAAAGGCAAACCCAAGCTACCTTTTATGGATCTATCACTGACCTAATTAACCTTGTTACTCTTTCCTTCTCTCTCTCTCTCTAACCTAAGGGGGTGTGACACTTTGGTAAGATTTTGGGGTATAAGCCCTGAAATCCCAGTTTGCACTCTCCTCGAGGCCAGTCACTCGGGCGATATCACTTATGGTTGGTAGGGTGAACCTTCCAGGCCTGGGCAAACCATACCCAATATCAAGAGTATAGGTTCGAATCCCCACCTGTGTGTGAGTCCATGACTTACTGCTATATAGTTAAGTAGCCCTACTACGCAACAACCACCTAAAGTAAACTTCTAGGATTTTGGCTCTTTATAGGGTTTAACCTCAGAGATTACCTCTTTATGGTTAGGCATTTACTCTCTCTCTCTCTCTCTATACCTTACCCACATCACTGTTATCACATGGTTTGTTTTTTTATCTTCATACTTTCAAAACATCCATTAAAAATTCAAAACTCTTCATAACATTGAATAGCAACCGAAAGCATTAAACCTATTGAACCTATTAAACTCATTGAAACATGAAAGGCAAACCCAAGCCACCTTTCATGGATCTATCACAGACCTAATTCTTAGTATATATATCTGTGTGAGTCGATTTCTGACCACACTGCCAAACAGGTACTCACCTGGAGAACACCAGCAGAATAGATTAAGCCCGAACGACCTGTCATAGAAAGAAAAGATTCCGGCGATGGTTCGTCCACCCGAGGGCACTCCGACGATCAAGTTAGTTATCTCTCAAAGATAGCAAAAGTGCTTAACTCACTATTGACCTAATCCCAATAGAAAAGTAGCTTCAACAGACTTTGGCTCAATGCCAATCCTGGACTCCCAGTTGGATTGGGATAAACTCTCTAAGAGTCTTATCTTTAGTCAAACTGAAGTCCTCTCTCATTCTAGTACTCTTGTCCCTTATCCGCTTATCCCGGATTCAAGTATCTTCGCAGATAACCTCGACCTAGACGAGATTATCTTGGCGTCATGACCACACACGGCACCTCGGCTGGTACTTTGGTGCCACCTCGGCCACGTGTTGTCATTCAAAAATTATGTCCCCACAACTGCCCCTTAGGTTCTATTACCTCGGCATCCTGAGGTGGTGGAACCTATATCGTTTCTTCCATTTAGCATGTCAGCTAAGCTCGCTTTGTCCTTTATTACCGAGGTCATCATTCGTCGGCTCAATACGACCAAGACTTAGTCTGTTTTCATTAATGCTTCAAAACCAATAACCAAGTTTGTTTAAGTTTCTCAGCCGAAGCCAAGGTCCTTCTCTATTATCAAGAACCCCAAGAGTTTCAACACGCGTATGAGCTGTCACGCAGTGTATATTAACCATTTTTGCCATGTGACTTTCCCCTACTGAGCCGTACCAGACACGCGCCATTCAGTCGCATCGCATTTGCGTGCGCCGTTTGACAAGCACGTTGTCCTAGGCACACTAATTGCCATTTTGCCACCATTCTGCGTGTTTGATCAAAATCATCTCTCTCTCTCTCTGTCTTTTCACTTTTTCACCACCATTTTCGTGCAAGTTCTCTCTCCAACCTTCCCTCCCAAATCCTCCATTTCTGATTTTCGTGAAGCTTTCTACAACCACTTTCACTCTCCCCCTCCGGCGAGGCTTTTGCTGCACTTCTTTGCTCACTGCCACCGCCTGACACCAGCATACTTCACACTGGCCTTATTTTCCTCGGTAAGCCACTGTTCCTCTCATTTCAATTTCTTGTTTCGCTTCAAATTGTTATGTTTGTACACTGCCATGGTGTTTTTATTCACGCTCTTAATTTGTTACTTGTGTGTCGATTTCCACCATTCATCATCTGTTTCACGATTCCACTCTTTGCACAATCTGTTGCTAGTATACACACACACACATACTGTTCATATTCTTGACATTCTTGCTTGGCATTCTTGATAACTCAACACTATTCTTGACTTGTGCATATTTATATTTTATGCAATGTTCTTGAACCCCTTTTTCTTGAGTCTGAATCTCTATTCTTCTCTGTTTTCTTGTTGTGTTCTCCAGATTCTTGCCTTCAATCCTTGTTTCCGTAGCCTTAGGTTTGGGACTTGTTCTAGAACTTACAAACTTTAGGAAAAATTAAAACAAATTCCTTTTAGATCCTCAAAAACCCTTGCTCCAACATTCATTTAGGTTTTGCCGAGGTCCTCTAAACCTTATCAAACCACTTCCTTTTGCAATCCAACACTTTTCCCCTTAAGCCGACGTCATGGATATGTGGAGGTGGAAGGTAGACACCCCAATTAAGCTAGAATATTTCAGGCTGGAGTTCGTCATCCCTACCGACGTTCACCTCAGGTTGGCTAGGAAGGAGGACTCCATCATGCCCAAGGACGACTCTATGCCTTTTCCAGTCGTAGCCTTTGTAGAGTGTGGACTTAGGCTCCCTCTCGATATCTTTTTCCGAGAAGTCCTTCACTATTATAAACTCAACCCAATGCAATTAGCCATTAACTCTTACAGAGTCATCAATGGTATCATTGTCTTAGTTAGCCGAGAAAATGCTAGGGTAACTCTAGACGACATCCAGTACTGCTACACCATGTGTGGCCTTAAGTCAGAAAAAGGCTACGTCTATTACCTTAAGCCGAGGTCCACACAATACAAACTCATCGCCGATCTCCCTGATTCCAACAAGGGCACCGGGGACGATTACTTCATCGTCTCGGGCAACTAGGAGTACCTTCTAGATGATGACCTTCACCTCTACCCTCTAAGCCGTACATTGTTCAGAGAGGGAGATGGTAAGAGCCAAGTGTTTACTTTTACTTGCTTCTCAAGTCTTTTTTACTTTGATATTTTTATATGTTCTAACGTCTGTATGCTTTATTTTGCAGTTCTTCCTCAGCCTCCAAAGGACTGCCACAAAAACTTTTATCCTAGTAAGGATTTTAAGAAGCTACTCAACTTGCCTATCAATCAATGCAAGGCTCCTCTACTCTTGAACTATATCCCGACTTACAAATCTGTCTTGCCCGACGTCCCCAAGAAGAACAAGTCTTCTCCTTCCGCCACAACTCCTCCTACAACTTCATCACCTCGACCAGATCAGGGATCAACTTCTGATCCAGCAGAACAACCATTAACCTCAGCTCCACAACTAATCCTATATTCTCAACGCAAATGCCGACGTCGAACTGTAGCCGCCGTCGAGATGGGTCGTAAGAAGGCATTAGCATACGACCTTCTAGCCGACATCTCTCACTTTGTCACCGCACATCCTTCACCATCACAGTCTCAGCCAAAGCCGAAGCTAAAAAGATTGAAAAAAACCCAACCTAAGGCAATGGTAACTCAGATCGACTCTGAGGATACCTTGCCGATTTCCAAAATTGCTGAGGCGAAAAAAAGTGCCTCTACCGCCGAAAAGAGGCCCGCAGAGGATGCTCCCTCTGAATCAACCTGGTCAAAGAAGCTGAAATCAGAGTCTACGACAGCCTCAGGGTCTATGAAATCAGATGCCCCTTGGGCCCCTCCAATCATTATTGAGGACAAGCAGTTAGGGTTGGCGATAGTGCGACTGACCTTGAAGTCAACGTCGCCCTCTTCACTGCCTTGCTCTTTCCAAAAGACCTCGGACGCAACGCTGAGGTCAGTGAATATGAAAACTTCGCTCTAATGTTGCAGCACTCCGTTCAAGTAAACCCCTAACACATGGTACTTTTCATTCTCTGTTTTTCCATACTTAGAGAATTTCACTAACTTTTGTTTTGCCCATTTCTTCTAGGCGATCCAGCACGCCCACTCCTTCGCGATGCAAGCTTTTGACATCAAGAAGGAGTTGGTCAACAAGACCAAGGAGGCTGCTAGTTTGTTGAAGACAGTCAACAAAGCCGAGGCCAAGATGAAGACACTGATGGATCAGGCTAAGGCAGCAAAACAAGCCCAAGACGAGGCCGAGGAGAGGGCGAGAGCTGCCGAGGCCATTGCTAAGGTCCTTGAGGTCGAGAAAAAAGAGGCCGAAGCAAAGATCGCCGAAGCCCAAGCCGAGCTCATTGCTACCTTGGCCACAAAGGAGGCCGAGATCAAGGCGGCGGACGAGAAGGCGTACGCCGAAGGGGCAGCCGATGTTCGTGAGGACTACAAGAAGCAGGTCAAGAAGGCATGCAACAAGAGTTGCTCCCTTGGCTGGATGGCTTCTTTGAAAGAACTGGCCGTCCCTGAGGACTCTCCCCTTAAAGACGATAGCCTACTCGTCCTCCATTCCCTCTTACTCCAAGCTAATCCGAGGACGAGGCTAAGTCCGAGGAGGAAGCTGAGGCCGAAAAGACGAAAAAAGTTGCTGGGGCCAAGTCCCTAACTTTGAATGAGTAAGTCTTGGACTTGACTCAGGATGAGGAAGATGAAGTCTTAAAGGGTGCCTCCTCCCAGAAGACAACCTCTGAAGTGCCAATCGTTGAGAAGAGCATCGATCAGACTCTATAAGAGATCAACGCCGAGCTCGAGGCTGAGAAGGCTGCCGAGAAGTCTTCCCAACTGTCTTCTGGGATCGAGACACAGTCCACTACCGACGCCGAGCAGTCCATTTTGATGCTCTTCTTTATTTCTTGTACCTTGTACTTTTTTTTTCACTTTTGAAACAATGTTTAGCTCTTTATTTGGCTGATGTGCCTTTTGTAATCTGAACAATTATTCTTCAATGTTAGGCCGAAGTGCCTTATTTCTTTATCTGAATGCAAGTCTTCTTTTTTGACTAAGTGTTTGAATGCTTGTCTTTTCTTTACTGTCTTGTATGATTCCATACTTAGAATATTCTGCATGTCTTCAAAGTACACCTTAACTGTGCAATTTCCTCGGGGTAAAATACTTCAGGTATAACTGTTGACTGTTTATCTCGACCATGGCTTAATACTTGAAAACATTTGTAAAACTATTTTCATAAATGTTTATCAAGACTTCTGTTTTCCACTATTTTCCAAGTCTTGGCAACATAGTAATGTTGGTAAGTACGTAGATACTTCTTTCAACATAATCTTGGCTTAATTTCAACTTGTAAATTTTTCTTAAAATTTCAACAAGTGTTAAACCAACCTTAGCTTGTAGATTCCAACTCCCAAGCATCATTCTCCATCCCTTTGCCCCCTAATGTGAACTTAAGTTCCACTTGGGTTTTCATTAAGCATGTGGCTTTGACCTCGTCGCCGAGGTCAGATTCAAAAAAAGACTAGCCGAGGTTACCAACCTTGGTCTCTTTGTTAATCTAGCTGACATGTACTTAGTTTTAATCTGTGTCTGACTCTGTCGATATGGCAAGTCCAGGTTAATTTTAACTTAGTTCAACTCTATTATATGCAAGTAGAAAAACTCTACCATATAATAAGTCTAAGTTATTCATCATGTTTCAATTAGAAACATCACCAATTTAGTTTAACTCTATTATATGCAAGTATAATTCAACTCTACTATATAATAAGTCTAAGTTATTCGTCATGTTTCAATCAGAAACCTTGCCAACTTAGTTCAACTCTATTATATGCAAGTATAATTCAACTATGCCATATAATAAGTCTAAGTTATTCGTCATGTTTCAATTAGAAATATCGCCAACTTAGTTCAACTCTTTTATATGCAAGTATAATTCAACTCTACCATATAATAAGTTTAAGTTATTCATTATGTTTCAATTAGAAACATCGCCAAGTGACTGGTCAGTCATACTACACAAGTTTAAAGATCATACTTAGTTTTAATCTGTGTCTGACTCTGTCGATATGGCAAGTCCAGGTTAATTTTAACTTAGTTCAACTCTATTATATGCAAGTAGAAAAACTCTACCATATAATAAGTCTAAGTTATTCATCATGTTTCAATTAGAAACATCACCAATTTAGTTTAACTCTATTATATGCAAGTATAATTCAACTATGCCATATAATAAGTCTAAGTTATTCGTCATGGTTCAATCAGAAACATCGCCAACTTAGTTCAACTCTATTATATGCAAGTATAATTTAACTCTGCCATATAATAAGTTTAAGTTATTCGTCATGTTTCAATTAGAAACATCGCCAAGTGACTAGTCAGTCATACTACACAAGTTTAAAGATCGAGCTAAGACTTTATTATTACTTCGGCTAATAACAAGAAACTTAAAAAACAAGAAATCTAATGATAGAAAAACTTCAGATTGCAAGTATTCCAAGGTCTTGGCAACTCTTTGCCTTTACTGTCTTCAAGTCGATATGCTCCATTGCCTAGGACCAAGATGATTCTATAAGGTCCCTCCCAATTTGGGCCAAGCTTGCCCTCTCTAGGATTCTTTTTGTTGCTGACGACCTTTCTCAGGATGAGGTCCCTAACTTGGAACTCTCTTGGGTTGACCTTCTTATTATAGGCCTTAGCAAGCTACTGCTAGTATGCCCCCAGCTGAATTGTTGTTTTCTCCCTTCTTTCTTCTAACAGATCCAAATCTCGGGCCAAGAATGCCTCATTGGTCCTGTTTTCTACTCCCTAGGTTCTAATTCCTGGGATGCCGACCTCCAGTGGAATAACTACTTTTGTGCCATAAGCTATGGCAAATGGGGACTCCCCAGTTAATCTTTTCGGCGTAGTTCAATATGCTCAGAGTACACTGGGCAACTTATCTACCTACTTCCCCTTTGCTGCTTCTAGCCTCTTCTTGGTCCCATCCAAGATGACCTTATTGGATGCTTCTGCTTAACCATTGCTTTAAGGGAAGCTTGGAGTAGAGTAATAATTCTTGATCTTGTACTTTGCATAAAAGCTCTTGATTAGCTTACTGTCAAACTGTGTACCATTGTCTGCTATTATTGCCCTTGGGATCCCAAACCTGGTGATGATGTTTTTTCATATAAAGTTCTTCACATCAACATCTCGGATCTTTGCAAGTGGTTCAGTTTCTACCCATTTGGTGAAGTAATCTGTTGCCACTAGTAGGTACTTCATTTGTCCAGTTGCCTGAGGCAGCTGTCCAATAAGATCCATGCCCCATTGGGCAAACGACCAAGGGTTGGATACTAGGTTTAAATCTACTGTTGGTTGGTGTATCAAAGGTGTAACCTCTGGCACTTCTCACACTTCCTGACATAGGCTTCAATATCTTTTTGCATATAGGGCCACCAGTACCCCTGGGTAATGGCCCTATGAGCAAGTGACCTGCCCCCTGTGTGGCTTCCACATACTCCTTCATGTATCTCATACAAGAAGTCTTCAACTTGTGAAAGATGCACACACCTCATAAGGGGTCCAGTAAAAGATCTTCTGTAAAGATACCCTTCTACTGTCAGACTAAATATTGCTGACTTTAGTCTGATCTTGTGTGCGTCTTTATGATCATCTGGTAGTTTTTCCTTTTTAAGGAATACTATTATTGCATCCATCCAGCTTGGTCCCATCTCTACATGCATTGCTTCATGCTCTGTGTTTAGTGGTTCTACACTTGGGCTTGACAAGTAGTCAACCATTATTGTCCTTGCTTCTCCTGGTTTCATTGCGCTAGCTAGATTGGCCAAGGCATCAGCATGGCTGTCATCATCTCGACTAACCTGATGTAGTCAGCAATTCTGGAATAAGGCTACCAGTCTGCCCACCTCTTTTACATAGGCTGACATCGTTTTTATCTTGGGCTACTTATTCGCCTATTGCCTGGTTGATGATAAGCTGGGAGTCATAGAAGACTATTACCTCGTCAGCTTCCATTGCTACTGCCAGCTTTAATCCTATGATCAGTGCTTCATACTCTGCTTCATTGTTTGAGGCTTTAAACTCCAAACGAATGGATTGTTCCAATATCTGCCCATCTGGCGATACTAGCACTATTCCTGCCTTCGCTCCTTGTCGGTTTTAACTCCCATCAACAAACAGCCGAAAGGAGTCGCCAATGAAAATACTGCATGGCCTAAGTTTCTCTCCCTTCCTTTGTTCTGCTATCCCCAGCTGGGTTTCTCCTTGTTTACTTGGACATCGTATACTTCGACTCAACGGAGCCCGATGTATGATGGCACATGGTGTGAACTCGGCCACGAAGTTGGCCAAAACTTGGCCTTTGATTGCTGTTCTGGTTCTGAATTCCAGGTTATGTTGGCCCAACACCACTGCCCATATGGCTATTTTGCCTGTCAGATCTCCCTACTACAATAGGGACTTCAAGGGATGCTCAGTTAACACCACAATTTTGTAGGCTTGAAAGTAATGATTTAGCTTCTCCAAGGGTAGGTATCTGGTCTCAGCTTCAGCTAGGGTTTTACTCATGTAGTAAACTGCCATTTGCTTTCCCTTTTCTTCTCTGATTACTACTGCACTCACTGTATGCTCTGAAACTACCAAGTTTAAGAACAGCTCCTCTCCAGGTACTGGATTTGAGAGAACTGGAGCTGTAGTCAAATACTTTTTCAAGTCGGCCAAGGCGACTTCGCACTTTTCTGTCCATAAGAAGTCTGTGAATTTCTTCACTAAGCTAAAAAAAGGTTTACATTTGTCAGAGCTTCTACTTATGAATCTATTCAGGATTGCAGCCCTTCTAGTCAACATTTGCACTTGCTTTGCCGATGTTGGGCTCTCCAACTCCAGAATGGCCTTGATTTGATTGGGACTAGCCTCAATGCCCCTTCTGGTAACCAAGTATCCTAAGAACTTACCAGACCCAACTCCAAATGCGCACTTCGATGCATTGAGTCGGAGCCGATATGTTCTAAGGATGTCAAAAGCTGCCTTTAAGTCTTCTAGATGATCCTCAGGTTCTTTGGTCTTCACGACCATGTCAAAAATGTATACTTCCACTGTTTTGCCTATTAGATGTCTGAACATCTTAGTCACAAGTCTCTGGTAAGTTGCTCCTGCATTTTTCAACCTGAAATGCATCACTCTGTAGCAATACAGCCCTTTTGGGGTAATAAATGCAGTCTTTTCCTCATCTGGGGGGGACATAGCTATTTGATGGTACCCCTTGTAGGCATCTAGGAAGCTCATCCTTCCATGTTTTGAGGTGGCATCCACTAATTGGTCAATTTTGGGGAGTGAGAAACTGTCTTTGGGACAAGCCTTATTCAGGCTGGTGAAGTCCACACAGACCCTCCACTTCCCATTCTTTTTCTTCACGACGATCGTGTTTGATAGCCATGTCGGGTAGTTTACCTCTCAAATGGCTCTGGCCTCCAGAAGTTTATTCACTTCTTTTTCTACTACCTCAACATGCATCAATGTCGGCCTCATTGCTCGCTGGATGACAGGTTTAGCCGACCTATCCACATTCAGTCTATGGCAAGTGACCTCGGGGTCAATGCCAGGCATCTCGTACGGCGTCCAGGCAAACACCTCAATGTTTGCTTTCAAGAACGCCTTTAGCTCTTTTTCCTCTTCCTCGGCCAAGCTCGAACCGAGAAGGAAGAATCGCTCTTCATTTCTTTGTTGGACAAGGATTTTCTTCAGGGCTTCCTCACTCTTCTCGGCTGGCTCTTTGCCGACGT